TAATTTTTTAATATATAATATATAATATTTATATTTTAATGTATTAAAAATATTATATTAATGATATTAATAGAAACAAAAGTAAATTAAACAATCAGAAACTTAAAAATCGGATATAATATCCAAAAAATTATTATTAGATATTAATAGCACGTTAAGAGAATATATAATTATTAATATTATGTATATATATATCAAAATTCTTTAAAAAATTTATATACATATTATATATGGAATATGCATACATATATACATATATTAATAATTGATACATTCAATTTATATAACTCATTAATATTTTGATTAGATATCAAAATAATAAAATAATTAATTGAAGATATTGCAACATTCAATTGTAAAAGATTAATAACGCAATAAGTCGCCATTATTAATGCAAGCTTTTACTTTTGCAAAAATAAAGTTGTTTAGACAGATAAATGTATAGACTCTATGCATTTTGCATTGCATTACGCGGTTGTTGTCGGATCGGGAAATTTAATTTCTTATATTTATTTCTGATATAAAATATATTAATCCTTTCGTAGAGAGCGAAAATAGAAAGCGATATGGAGAAATCACTCCCACAAATTAAAATGCTAATTATCGGCGATCCTTTTCCTAATAGCGGCCAGTAGTATCGCCGCGCGACTGATCGCTCGTTTCCAAGTCAAGCAGGGAAATCTTGTTTGCAAGTACACGACTAACAAGGGAACATCGCTAGCTCTCGTGAGTTCGAATGAAATTGTGTGGATGTATGGAGCGAAGCCGAATTAATTATCCTAGGAAAAACTCGGATTTAAAAAAGATGAAATTCACGCTTTAATCTGTCATACATACCTAGACAAAATTTTCTTGTATTTCGCGTTTAATAAAGTAAACGTTCAAAGCATAAAGAGGTGAAAAAAACGTTCATTTTTTTGCTTTATTCTTTTTTACTATTGTTAGGCACCGAGAGATTCGCTTTGACTGAATAAGGTTGTTTCGCTTATTTGTGTTATCTACATATCCATCGATTTTCACTTATGTTTATTTCTTCATTTTATATATTTATATATATATAATTTTGCATGCTTGAACAAAGGATATAATCATCAAGCTTTTTTCAATTTATCCCTGAAGATCAATCTTTATTGTTTCTTACAAATATGTAATTCGATGTAAATGGAAAGCGAGATTTTGTGACATAAAATATTTTTTTTTACGATTACAAGATATGCAATAAATGATACAAAATTTTGTGACATTGTCGTTCTTCTATGTGTGTATGACACATTTAAATTTTTATGTTATGTAAATATAATCCAGTCTCGACAGAAAATAAAGATATCAAAGAAACATTTCTATTATTTCTTATAATAATATACAATTCCGTAGCATATATATCGATTACACTTTTCTTTCGTGTGAATAATGACTAAAATACGTTTTATCTTTAAAAAGATATTACATTTCTTTGGGTAAAGTATCATAGTCAAAGCCGATTCTACATATATATACTAATGAGCATGCAAATTTAGAATTCATCAATAATATTGTTTAAAGATAATAATACATTTTGTAATATATTAAAAATTATATTAATTTTTTACATTTACAAAATGTACTAAACATAATATAAACAATTAAAGCACTACATAAATATAAAAAAATTTCTTTCTTTCAATTAATATATATAATGCAATCTTGCCTGTTACATTTGAAATTTAACAGCATTCCAATATGAATATTTTGCATCTACAGATATAAAAAAAGGTAAATTCGGCTCTGATTGTTACTCATTTTTTAAGTACTTTCTTAACGCTGCCATAGCAAAAAATTCGTACAATATTTAGATACCAGTATAAAATTACAAATATTTCACAAAAAAATGTAAATATACATTTTCGTACATATATATAATATATATATATATATATATATATCTCTATTATGTATATAAATGTATTATTATACATATATTATATATAGTATCTTATAGTATATATATATATAAATAATATATATTATTTATATTAAATATATATATATATATATATATGTGTACGAAATTCGCTGATATATGAAATAAACTGATATAATAAATAAAATCTTTACAAAAAATGTAAAATAGTCAATCATGATAGTTAACTATATTTATATTAAATATAGCAAATTTTTAAACTTCAATACTTCTATTATCACAAAAACATATTTGTTTTTTATAAACAAAGATCTGAAAACTGATGTATAAAAATTTGATTACCCAAGATTATACAAGATTTTAGATATTATACATTGAACATAATTTTTTTTCTTACAAATAGAATAATTCTAAATTTATGCCAAATTCACTTGTCATCATTTCTCTTCATTTAAAAGAAGAGTTGTAGTCCGTAGCAATTTCAAGAATCAGCCTGTATACTAATCGAACATCATTAGTATTTATATACCTTAAGATTCCTCTATATGTAAGTCATGGTTATACGTATCAAAATATAATTTAAACAGAATATAGATAAGAATCTAATTTCGTTTTTGCGTTAGGAGGTGAGGTAAAAGGGGAAAACCAAGCTATCGAAAATCTTCCAAAAACCGCTTGAATAGATTTCCATCTACTATTGCGAACCCACCGAGCTTCCTCCTTTTTAAGTTGTTCTATACCCTGCAAAAGATATGATACAATAAATATAAATCGCAACCTTTTTATATACGCACAAAAATTAATAATTGTATTATATATACGTACAGTTTCATCATACCAAATAGCTTGGAGTTGCGTGCCTAACATTACAGCAGTAAAAATGGCAAATAAAAGTGCCTCGAATGCTAGAAATAACAATAACACCACCGTTGCTGGTGGATTAAATGTGGAACATTCTCTCCATTCTTGTCTGACACACATGGTAAATTGTTGTACACACAGAAATAGAGAGTGCAGTGATATGCCCGCTATATAAAACTAAAATATGATACAAGAGAAGTACATTTATGTTATTTTACAAAATATTTTGATATATTTATATTAAATATTAGAATCATTAATTCGATTATTCTTTGTAAAAACCTAAGTCACAATATGCATGTGCTTTATGAAATACTCACAGTAAAAAGTACAAAGTATTTTTGATTATTTTCCCCTACACAATTGTTAACCCATGGACAATGATGATCCATTTTCCTGATGCATCTATAATAGCAGTGCAGGTAATTAATGCATTATCCTGCTACATTACAAACGCAAATTTGACTTTATTAAATTACCTTTGGCAAACAGAGCAATGATGAGCTCTATCTGGCTTAATAGAACAACATTTTGGGCACTTAAAAACAATCTGTCCTTCTCTCAATCCCATTTGTTCTATCATCTCTTTCGTTGCATTGCCTTTTGGTACTGCACCCTGAATAACAATAAAATATTAATAAAAAAAAAATGTTTAACTTATGTTACAATATACACTAAATCTCAAACAATAAATAAGATTTCAGTGTTTTCTTAATTACCGGATCTGTAAACATGGTTCTTAAATGTGATGCAAAGGCCAGGAATGCTAGAGATTGGAAAATAGTCATATTTAAGCTTGAATACAGTGTATTTATTGTAGGAATAAGAATCACTGCCATCACTACAAATTCTGCATAGATTATCAATAGCCATGTTAATACTGCGCATATGATACCACATATATCCTATAGAGAGAAAAACAGATATGTTATATATTAAAATTATAACAATATCAGAACAATCTTGTTAAACTGTGATTAACTTGATTTATAATTAATTAAATCAGCAAAAATGCTTAACAAAATTGTCAACTATATAAGTTATTCCTAATTTAATCTTCTGATTTATTGCAAAATATAATATTAATTATTTTTCATGTGTAACAGAATAATACAAGTATTATTTGATGACCCATACAAATGACACAAAAGTTGCAGCATTAACATTGCAACAATATTGCAACAATGTTGCTGCTGTATAGGAAATTAATCATTAATTAAGTTAATCACAGACATTCTTAAAAAAAAATTAGAAATCATCTACATAATTATAAATTTGTATTATAAATTTATATATTTACCTTGATACACCAGAGCTTTCCACCGCAGCATCTATTATGAAAGTCTCTTTCCCTATGAAAGGCCATGAAATCGCAATCCATTGTTGAAACTGATGTTTACTGAATTATATCTTTTATAAGACATAAGGGTAATCACTGATACCTCCACCTTTGTACACACGAAAATCTACAATTACATGCCTGAAAAAAAAAAAAAAACACTGATGTTGCAACAATGCCAGGTATTTGAGGTAATACTTTTTATGCTAAATAGCCTAGAGCCGAATTTTATATGTCCGAAATGAAGATTTTTCAATGTCAAGGTAATCGTCTCCACATTTCATTTATCAAAGCATTAATTAGACCGTTACAGATGAGAATGCATGAGAATGCAAAGTACCGAAGATAATAAACGTCAAGCTTCAGGGAAATCTTTCTTTCTCTAACTCTGGAAAGACAGCGGGCTAAATCGATGACTTACATCACGGTACAACGATACGCGTCTACGAAGAATAACGTGTGATGCTTGCCGTCATAACATTTTGTATCGCAGCGTCGAAAGACGCATGCATAGCGTATCACAGAGAATGCCCGCAGCGCAAGTGACCGATTTTTCAGACTTCGCCTATACGATCGAGCGACGAAATGCGTGCAGCACGAAGTGTACGCACAAAAACGTAGTTTGTAAACATAAATACATAGATATTTGTTTTATTTCCGAGAATCGTCAGTAGGCATATCAGACCACGAAGAAACAAATTTAACCAGTATTATCAACAACACTCCACATTAAGTTCAGTGGTCCTCTCTTCGCTCTTTTCACTTCTTCGCCTGTCAGATTCTCAGCCATGTGCACAAATCATGAAAACAAGCGCCATCTGACGAAAACGTATTAAGCCCAATCGATATAAACGAAAACTGATTTTACCGATCCGAATTCAGGTTAGAGTCCCATGAGGCGTATTTGCCGCTTATCGCGTAACCATGTAACCAATCAATAATCAGTAAAACGCGAAACCACAACAGCAGATTGCCTCTGATTGGTTACGCAATTACGCGCGGCAAATTCGCTTCATGTGAATCCAGCCTTACAATTGCAACTATTTTTATTTTTATACATATGCATGAGTGTCCATTAGTGCATCCCAGTTGAAATCACTATGGATTTCATTCTCATCGGTAGTCTCTATCTTTCTCTTATTTCTCTCTCCATGATGCAAAATCATGCAAAATACAAATCAAACTCCAACAGATCTCGCCGCGCGCGCCACCGGCGCGAGCGAGTTTGACAGCGCATAACAAGGGAGAGGTAAGGGGAGAAGGGGGCGCGTGCGCGAGGCCATATTGGCTACTTGTGACTTTCGGGAGGAAGGAGCAAAAAAATAACCCAACTTTTCTCGTCTCTCGTACACGCAAGAAAATGTTACTCCGGAGAATTGTCCATTGATCCGCGATACGGCCGATCCTGTCAGCGTGACCGCGGCATTGCATCGGGGTATCTCGTCGTTTCTACGAAAGTTGTCCTTTTCCCTAGAAAATGGTGCGTTTACTTCCCACGGGGGTGCAGTCCACGGCCCACCGTGGGCCGATGTAACCCGAAACGTTGATCGGCGCCGGGAGTTGTCATCTTCTCCCGTACGCCGGGGGATGTTTTGGTACATGAATTTCTAATGCGTTCGAATTTTTTCATGCAGAGTTTCTTCGGTTTCGGCCAGTCTGCCGATATAGAGATCACGTTGGACGGTGCTGAAACGCGAAAGACCGCAGATATCAAGTCCGAGGATGGCAAAAAGGAGCGGCACCTGCTCTACTACGACGGCGAGACCGTGTCCGGCAAGGTAGGGCCTGCTATTTGGAACATCAACCTGATTATTAATCGTTTGGCTAATGAGATTTGATAGAAATCAAACGTTGTAACATACTTGCATGATATGCTTAGTGCACCAGGCTTGCTTTTGTCAAATGAAACTCAAATGAATACTGCATTTCTAACATGCATAGACTTTTCGTTTATTATACAGTATATCTAGCAAATTATCAATTATTAAAAACATACATCATTTTACAGAAGTTAAAATATGATTTATTAATTTACATGATAAGATAATACAGTTGTGGTATATTTATTTACTGATTAATTATAATTATTAATTTATGTTAATGATATATATGTGCAACTTCTTTAACTCATTTTCAAAAGATCACTTTTAGAAATAGATAAAATCTTTTAAACTGTGTAATATTTATTTTATTTGCATAAAATATAAAATAGATATATTTTACCATGAATCGGTGGACTGTACATATTCACAGATAAGCTACAGATACGTACATCATTGATCTATAAATAGCTTTGGCCAAAAATATAATTATATTTTTTTTATCTGGAATTCTTTTTCTGAATTTATCTGTTGTATATGCATTATACGTAAGTTTAAAGGATTTTTAAAACAGAATAAGCAAATACCTTAAATCAATTTTTGAACTAAAATTTTAAACAGTGATTAATAAGGGTTAATGTTTTTTACCAAGATTTTATTATACAGAGGAATATCTATCATACATCTTGCAGATGATATTTATCTTATAATAGCTCTTTGAGTTCTGTATTAATTACTGATCCTTTATAATGTTCTATCATGTATGCTTTTGTAGTATAAATTTGTTACTAAATTAATGCTTACAGATTAATATCAGCTTGCGGAAAGCTGGAAAATTAGAGCATCAGGGAGTCAAAGTAGAATTTATTGGACAAATTGAGCTATATTATGACAGAGGCAATCATCACGAATTTACGAGTCTGGTAAAAGAACTAGCGAGGCCAGGGGAATTAACACACAATACAGTATATACATTTGAATTCCCAAATGTTGAGAAACCATTTGAGAGTTACACCGGTTCTAACGTACGACTAAGATATTTCTTGAAAGTGACAATTGTACGAAGAATTAGTGACATTGTTAAAGAACTCGATTTAATTGTGCACACTCTTAGTTCCTATCCAGACATGAATAATCCCATTAAAATGGAAGTTGGAATTGAAGACTGTTTGCATATCGAATTTGAATATAATAAAAGCAAGTAAGTCATTGTATAATTTACATATTTGGTCTATTTTAATAATTGATTTTCTAAATGTATTATTGATAATTATCTATCTTTTCAGATATCATTTAAAAGATGTAATTGTTGGTAAAATATACTTTCTTTTGGTTAGAATAAAAATAAAACATATGGAGATAGCAATTATCAGACGAGAAACTACAGGTTCTGGTATGCTATAGATAATTTACATATTGAAATGTAGTATAGCGATAGTAATTAATTATGATTTCTGCAGTTTTGTATATATGTAGCATGTTGGCAAAATTGGAACGCGAGTTTTGGTTTCTTGAGAACTTTTCCTCTGCAATATTCATGGTACTAAGGCAATAATTAGAGTACATATTTGCAGGTCCTCATACATTTACTGAAAACGAAACCATAGCGAAATATGAGATCATGGACGGTGCACCTGTTCGAGGGGAATCAATTCCTATAAGGGTATTCTTGGCTGGATACGATATGGCGCCTACAATGCGCGACATTAATAAGAAATTTAGTGTTAGATATTATCTGAATTTGGTTCTCATGGATGAAGAAGATCGACGATACTTTAAACAACAGGTAAATTTGTATATAATTCGTGTATCGTTTGCTATATACTATTTTTTAGAATTTCTAAAACTATTATACTTCTTTTCTATATTCAAGATGAAAATATCATTTTATGCATTATTCCTTTTATCATTGTGTCTTCATTTTACCATTGGTATTCATATTTTGTTCAGGAGATTACATTATGGAGAAAAGGTGAAAAAAGCAGAAAATCGCAAACGGCCTCGCCACATATGCCGTTGCATTTAGTATCAGCTGAAGGATTTCCACAAAGCACTGCACAGAATGGTCCACCATCAGTGCCACCTGACTCTGATCAACTGCCAACGAATAATGTTACAAACGTAGAAGATACTCCAGCACCAATTGAAGGCATGACACGAGAAGAAGGAGATGGCGAAGGTGAAAAAGAAGGAGGTCCAGAAAGTGATTGAGTCTTCACGTAGGTCTGTTCCTGGTGCCAGTTGTAGCCCAGATTAGTTGAGAACGTTAAATATGGCTGAAATATGCAGCAAAAGAATTAGCTTAAAGGAAAATCTCCTATATCGCGTTGGGAGATTTGTTTTTATTAACAAAAACAGCGGGATGCGTAAAAGGCCTGCTAGCAAAGTTGTAAATATTTTGGATACATTATATATAATTGAGAGCGAATGATTTGTAACTAGTAGAATACCGATCAAAATTATAATACTATGAAGAAATAGATCTCAAAATAAGGAGAATTTTGTCATTTTGGAAAAGATTATTTCGATATTATTTCACGAGCCATATTGCAAACGAATATAATATAAACAAGCAGATTTCCTGAATGGACGGCTTACTAATCAAATATTAACCAACGGTACATTTTGCAAAACATCTGAGTATTACAGTGTTTTAAATGTTTTATACAGACACACAATTGTGCCCACAGACTCATCCATTATATAATTTTGAAGATCCGAAGTCTATGGCAGCATTATGTTATGCAAAGAGAGTTTATAAATACAAAATGAATATATACTCACAAAGGCTGCCCCATATTAATCCGTTCACCTAGTCTACAAATATTATAAACGAGAGTGCTTTCCAGTATTCTGTTTGAATACTAACGTACACAAGCATAACACTGTACAATTCTGTGCTTTCCATTATTCTGTTCGCCAAATAGCACACACTGTGGGTATTTTCCAACAACGTACACAAATGGCACAATGTAAAAAGCTAAGTACGAGTGCGTAAAACATGCCAATGTTACCAACTTTTCAAAAAGTTGTTTGATAGCCATATTTATTTTGCAATAAAATAGTCAAATCTGAAAGCTTTATAACTTCAAGTCTTAATAAAAATTATAAATCTATTATTGATATGCTAAATATAATCATAAGAATAAGAATAGAAGTTTATAATGCATTCTAATGTTACTCTATGAAACTAAACTATGCTCCAACAAATATCTTACACAGTGGAATACAGTATAATATTTTAGCTGGAAAATAGCTATGTTACATTTGATATTTTTCAGATAGGCGATACTGTATAACAGTGTACTTTCAGGGCTCGTATTCTTGAAAAGTATTGTATAAAACTAGAGAAATACTTCAGTATATGTTAAATGTATACTATAGTATCAAAACTATTTAGCTATATATGATTGTGTCAACTTGTGTCATAATTGAAAAGCACTATATCATATACAGTATTGCCTGTGTCTATAACTGGAAAGCACAGAATTGTACACAGTGTCACTTGTGTACATTGCTGGGAAGCACCCGAAGACACGAGAAAGTTATTTACGTGCGTATATGCATGTTTTTGAAAATAGTTTATATATAAACACAATTCGCCTCGAGCGAGAAAGATTGCACTTATTTTTAGAACGAGTTTGTACAAAAAAAAAGGAAAAGCTGTTGATTATGGTACATGACACGAGTTATAAGGTGCGTTCCGTTTCGCGCATAATGCTTCAATTGTCTTAGTTTAATTTGCTTTTTAATTTGCTGAGCAACAAAAATAAACGATGCATTATGTGCATCATGTGAGAAACGGAACGCATCCATAGATTACCTTCAGCTTTGAGTTTAATAAAAATGTGCATACATAGGTACAGTTTCATAAGATAGACTTTTATATGCAAAAGTGTGCATTTTGCGTAATGTCAATCTTCCAAACAGACACAAATTATAATATATGTATCTGCTCAAGTTGGTATGCCTTTTTGTACACGAGAGTGGACTATGATAGATTAAATAATGGGGTAGCCGCCTCGTGTATTTATAAATATATACATACATATATATATATACACACATATATAACTGTGGTATACATGTGTGAGTATGTATACATAAATGAAATTTTTAATTTTGGCAAAATAACAACTAACTGGCTTAAGTGTGCTCCAAATTGTGGCATGTTGGATAACTAATATCCTATAAAAGAATAAAAATTGTATAATAAATTTTTTATCAATTATATGAAAATATCAATTTCACGAATGTATAAAAGTAATCGTCCTTGTACGAATCATTCCGTAAAGACTAAGAAATCAATAACAAAAATTTATTTTACATATTTTACTTGGCTTTATTCACAAGAAATCTCAACGATTGTACCACAATTTACTCAATATTCTGTATGTATATGTAAACATACACGTATTTTACATATTGTAATATCACAGATAGTCAAGTGCAGACATATTTCCTTTTATCGCTGCAGGTTTTATAACATTCTATAGCGATGAAAGTAATACTACTGCAAAAGGGGAACCTATCGTTTTGTACTGTTCTATATCATGGAAGTTTAACTGTAAAAACATATATTGAAAAGATACATAATATTAGATAATATATATACATGATACATATATGTATTCAAGTAACTTACGTTAGAAATTTTTTTCTTGTAAGTTGAGGTAATTTCGTAATCCATACCATTATTATTTGTTAATTATAGAGAATGAGAATTATGAAAAAGAGGGTAAATGAGGAAGAGGAAGGAATGAGTGTACATAAGAAAAGCAGAAAGAAACCTATTTGATGAATTATTTGATCTGTCAAATATGTGTATGTGTATATATATGTATGTATGTATATATATGTATATGTACAGGTATATACATATTATCATGCGTACGCAACTAGTTGTATATTTTAATGCCTATATATAAATATATTGTATACAGTGCGTATGTGCACATACATGTATATTGGAATCATATTTATTGTATTAATTGGTTTATATATATGTATATGTAGGTACCTAATCCAAATTTAAATCCTGATCACATAATTTTTTTTATGTATTCTTATAGATACATAATTATTTAATAGCAAGTTAAATCACATTTTATAAAATTATGTAAAACGTTAAAGCGTTTAAACAATTGCTAAAGCTGATATTTTTCTTTTTATTAAATCGTGTAATAGCGTAACATATTATTTATGCAATCATAAAATGTAAAAATCATTTAAACCATGGCATACAAAAGAACTTAAGCAGTAAGGCCGAGTTCATACCTTAAGAAAGCGGAAAAACAGTACCCGATCAGAACTCGGGCTGGTAATCGACTTTCTGTTGGTTTTGTACTACTTTCTACCAACGAGAGTTCTGGAAAGGTGTGAACGCGCCCTAAAATTTAAATATTGATCAATCACAGTAGAGTTCGTAAGGCCAATCACACGCAGAAAGAAAAGCAAAGAAATGATTGCAGAGTTCTGATTGGTCTCACTGTTCCGTTCCGGTGTAATTTCCGTTCCATGTAACGCCACCCTAAGGGTGCGGTCCACTTGACGCTACAAATGCTTCGAAACTTTTGATTGAACCGGCGGAAAGAATTCTATTAATTGACCAATCAAAAAATGCTTCAAAGCATTTGTAGTATCAAATGGACCGTAGTCTTATAGGTCTGTTCGCGTTGCTTGTACTTTTTGCACTTGGCAGCTTTGTTCTCTCTCTCTCTCTCTCTCTCTCTCTCTCTCTCTCTCTCTCTCTCTCTCTTTTTAAATATAACGCCTTAAATATATACTTATCTTTTAGAGATTTCAAGCAATGCGAACAAACCTAATGTTAATAATAATAATAATAATAATAATAATAATATTAGCGAGGTTCAACTTAAGGTTCAGATTCCGTTAACTGTGTTAACAAGAATAAAAAGATAGATTATTCGGTCAGGTTGAAAACGCCAAATAGAGTTCACATGAAACTTCATTTTTCACGTTTCCACCCTAGAGAAAAAATTACACATGATCGATCCCCAAAGTATTTTTTCCTGGTATAAAAAGTAAAAAGTGAAAATTTTTACCATTGAAGTTAATAGAGAAATTTTTCACTTTTCAGCCTAGGGAAAAGTGAAAAATTTCTCCATTAACTTCAATGGTAAAAATTTCCACTTTTCACTTTTCATCCTAGGAAAAAAGTTTCATGATCGATACCCAGAACTTGGGGTAAGAGCCGATTGTTCCATCTTTTGGTAAAGATTACCTGTTAGGTAAGTAGCAAGATTGCCCAATCACGTGCGGATTGCCAGATTTACCTAACAGGTAAACTTTACCGAAAGATGGAACAATCGGTCCTAAAAAAAAAGAACATTGCTCAACCGCCTCAACGCAGGGATGCACTTCAGGGTCTTCAGGTGGTTTACGATGTGGGAGCTAATGTGTCTCGTTGCCCAACATTGCGCCGTGCGTGTCTGACGCCAACGATAATTCGTTGGAGTGCGTTCAAGAATTATGCTCAGATAACTCTTGGGTGCATTTTTGTTATAATATACGTTACGTAAACTATAGCCTAGTGTTATTTTATAAGTATGATTCCTGGGGATCGATTCTGTATCTTGAAACAAAGTGAAAATTACAAAAGTGAGCAAATTTATTAGATATTGACCAATGAAATTATAAATGTTCTAGTAAATTCGCTCACTTTTGCAATTTTCACCTTGTTTCAAGATACAGAATCGATCCCCAGATTATTGTCTAACGACATGAACAATTAAGATCTCGGGACGTAACTTAAAAAGGAAAATATACATCTTACAAAGCGCTACTTACAATTTATCGCCATGTTTTACAAAAGTTACGCATGACACACGCTGGACGCTTCTACCTCTCTAACCAGCAAGTATATTTGAAATGATTCGAAATAGGGAAACGGGAAAAAGAAGAGATTTGAGCGCCACAACTAACGCCTGCACGCCACAACACATCGCAACTAGCGCCATCAGTCGGCGGCCTAGCGCGACTGCTAGTCACCATATGCTCATATGGACATAAGTTATGCTTATATGTGACTAGCAGTCGCGCTAAGCCGCCGACTGATGGCGCTAGCTGCGATGTCGTAAACCGCTGAAATGGTATCCAGTTTCAACGTCCTCCTCCTCCTTCGATGAAATCAATTGAATGGCGAGTTTGGGTGATTGTGGCATTGTGCGATAAATAGAAATTTAATTTGTCGATTAATTAGGAAACATACGATCGTAGATTAAAACGCTACATAATGGTTAGTTTTCCTTAATTCCGCGCCGATAGATTATTTTTCCTCGCAATGGGAGTTGAAGTCTATTGCGAACCAATGAAACATGTGATATTAACCTCTTCTCCATACCACTCAGATTTTTGAGGTGGTTCTACAATTTACTTCTTAATTTGAAACTTACGTTTAGTTTTTGTTTTTGTATGGAGTAATAATTTGTTCATACAAATATCTTATGTTAGCCGAAGTAGCAGGAAAGGAAGACGAATGATTGTTTGACTTGGCAAATGTTTCATTATTCAACCAACTGATGCTCCCTGATATCTATATCTTTCTTACTATATAATAAAAGAAATTATTTATTTCAGAAACCTTTAATGTTGCATGGGCACGAGCGTGCCATCACCAAAATAAAGTATAACAGAGAAGGAGATTTATTATTCTCCGCTAGTAAGGACAAGCAACCGAATGTTTGGTACTCGTTGAATGGAGAGCGTCTTGGTACTTTCAACGGACACAATGGTTCTGTATGGTGCATTGATGTCAATTGGGATACTACGCGGTTGTTATCCGGCAGCGGTGACAATACTCTGAGAGTCTGGGACTGTGAAACTGGTTCGTGCATATGATCGAATCATACAAATAAATTCTGCTTGTAAGCCATACATAATATCTTCGTATAATATTTAGGCAAGGAAATAGGACAATTGCACACGAACAGTTCTGTAAGGACGTGTGGCTTCAGTTATTCTGCAAACCTCGCGGTATTTTCTACTGATAAGGCTTTGGGTCATCAGTGCGAGATG